AGCATATTTTTTTATATTAATCATACCAGGATTTAATAGTCGATCACAGGTTAATCCACGTTTATTGGCTTGGCAGGCACGTTCATTCTATAGACATTTTCCAAATTGGCTTCCTCCACAAACAGCAAATGATCAGGTAAGTTTGAATTTGATATTACTGATACAGTTGTTTAATAGTCAGTCAGCTACAACGTAGGACCAGGCACATATATGAATCGTTCCAAGTTGCAATACCTCATTAACACAACAATATAGACACCGGATTCATAAAAGTAGTTAGTTCAGAGGTGGTAGTGATTTGTAAAACAAGGATTGCATATAAGGATATAGTATAGGAAGAAAGAATTAGTTAGTAGAAAGAAAGATATGAAGTGATTTTATTCTCTTGATTTAGAGGAAGACAGGGAGAGAATACACCGACGCCATTGTGATGGATTCTGAGCCCTGTCACCAAGAGTCTCCAACCATTGGGTACGATAGTCACGCGGACCCCAACCAAGAAGTCTGCATCTACCAACATGGCTCAGACTAGAAGTTGGTGTCTTCAACCACAGATGTCACATTAAAATCAATCATGTATCGGTAGTCAGTCAGTCAGTCAACTACAATGTATATGATCAGGTACATATATGCATCGGTTCAAGTTGTTACATCTTACTCATTAGCACAACAAGATCAACATCAAATTCATAGAAGGAGTTACTTTGATCGATTCTGAGCCATGTCACCAACAGTCTCCAACCATTGGTTACGATAGTCACGCGGACCCCAACCAAGAAGTCTGCATCTACCAACATGGCTCAGACTAGTAGTGACTTCAAGTACTGATGACACGTTTTGGTTTGGCCGCCCCTAACTTTCTTCTAACCATCTCCAACACCGGTTAGCATTGCACGTCGTGGTAATCGGTGTTCAGGCATACGTAACACGTGGTCCAACCATCTCAGTCGATGAAGATTCACAACCATCATTCCCTAATACTCTGAGTCTAACCTCACTATTACTTACCCGCTGATCCCAGCAGATGCGAGCAATATTTCTAAGGCATCTGTGGTCAAATACTAATAGCTTACGGGTGTCTTCTACTCTTAATGGCCATGTTTCGCTACCGTAAAGTAAAACAGAACGAACTGCCGCGCAGTATACTCGTCCTTTCATTGATAGACGGATATCTCGCCTTCACAATAGGTGACGTAAGTTGGCAAAAACCAAACTAACTTTTCGGATCTATACAGAGATTTTGTTAGACACCAACCCACTATGGCTGATTAGACTTCCAAGATAAGTGAATTCGTCAACGCGTTCGACTACTTCACTACCTGTCCTTAGTTCAGGTGTTGACGCAGGCCAGTCTTGAAGCAACAACTTGCATTTCGAGGGAGAGAAGCGCATCCCAAACATTCTGGCATTGTTGCTTAGTGCTACCAGAAGACTCTGCATTTTATCAGCGTCTTCACCAAACAGGACTATGTCATCTGCGTATTGTAAGTCGATAAGTGGACCTCCTGGATGGAGATCAATACCCGAGAATTCAGTCGACGAGAATTTTATTTCCGTCAATAGGTCTATGATGACGTTAAACAAAAATGGAGAAAATGGACAGTCTTGACGGACACCACTTGAGGTTTCAAAAGTAGATGACAGTTCGCCATAAGCTCTGACTCGACTAGTAGTGTTCGAGTAAAGAGCCTTCACAAGGTTTATGTACTTCTGAGGTACGCCTTTCAATGACAGACACTGCCACAGAATCTCTCGGTCTACCGAGTCAAATGCTGCTTTTAAGTCAAGAAAGACCACCATTGTCGGACGCCGATAAGTACGCCCATGTTCTAGAACCTGGTGAATGGTGAACATGTGGTCGATGTAGCCACGACCAGGTCTGAAGCCAGCTTGATTCTGTCGTGTTTTCAGTTTAGATAGTATATTAGTTGTTTAATAAAACATTAACTTTAGAATCCAAACAAAAATTGATTCCAAGGACAGATTTTAAATTCCTAATAAACTATATGTAATGATTGTGTAATTTTCTTATCATTCTCTAATCAAATTCTATTGAATTACAACAATTCACATGTCCTGACTAAGTATTTCTAATCGTAATTATAATAAAGCCTAATGACACTTATTGAACATCCTTCTCTCTCTTTACTTACATTACAATTTCTGTTATTAAATCTAACTGTTATGTTTACATTCGTTCATTTTCAGGAATTTAATCCAATCTCTTCCACATACATTGAAAAAACCGAAATTTTAGACATGAAATTACCTCGTTTACAAGTAATCAACAACAACAACAACAACAATTCCATCCATAGAAAATGATCAATTAAAAGATTCTACTATTTGATGTAATAATAATAATAATAATAATACAAGGAGACTATCATGTGAACAATAGAGTATACTTGATCAATTCTTGTTTATCCTTCATAACTATTTCTTTCATCTTTTATATTAATTGAATCATATTTATCAACATAAATATGATCAATGATGAATACAATGAATCCTACGGTAAAGAGTGAACTATAATGTTGGTTTTTTAACTCAATCCCATATTTTGTTTTACACTACTTCATGAAAATAGAAATCAAATATTGCGATGTTCATTTGTTAATGGATTATTTCATTTTCAAACTACCATTTATTTTCATATAAAAGATAAATAACAAAATAGTGTGCCTATTTACTAATAGATGGATGGTATAACAACTTGGCCCGATGCATATATGTGCCTGGTCCTATATTGTAGCTGACTGACTGACTGACTGAGTTGGATGAATGGATTACAACAATTATCTACAATGAAACTAATTAGTGAAATGTAATTTATCAATCACAAAATTCTTTGATGAAAACTAATCTAATGATTGAATTGGAAAAAATATATATAAATGCTGACAGTTACCGGTTACTTTATTGTTATGATTGAATAAATTTACAACAAATGAACGGTCTAAATATTATTATGATAAAAGTTAACGAAGATAATACAAAACAAGTAGGATCAACCTCAATCTCAGATGGTATGAATGAGTTCATTAACGTGTTATCGCTCACCGGAAAGCTACATCATACAAATAGTGTCCATTACAAATATATAATGAAGTACCTTCAGTTTACGTACTATTTCAGCCTTTAACAATTTGTTTTATAGGTTTAGACTACAACAGTAAACTGTCGTATAGCATACTAAACGATTAATGGACGGTAAACTATCAAGATAGCTGTTTAACAACTCTGTACTGGGAAGAAACAGCTAATTAAACTCCAAAAACTTTTCCAGGTAATATCAAACAACGATGACAGTAGAAATTACTGACAGATCCTAGTTTAAGTCGTACATGATGATTTCAGAAAACTGGTAGTAGACAATCTTACAGTCTGTGTTTATCAACAGTAGATTGAATGACATAAATGTTACCCAAAATGTATATGCTAAAAAGTCGTTCGAGTTGCTGCATAATGGCTAAAGTAAAGAGCTCAAAACTCGGAAGTTCATTTTACTTTACAACCATTCTCTGATACATAACTCATCAATTTCTACGAAACGTCTTAACAAAGTACAAAGTATTCGTTGAAATCAGGCGAATTTTCCTTTAAATGTTTATCGCGTCTTCATATGAATAACCAATCGATTTGAATAGAATTGTTAAGAATCAGTCACAATTTGCGGAGATACTTCCATCCTTTATCTCTCAATAAGTTTTTTACTTTCAAAAGTATCTAACACTTTTCTTTCTTCAATTTTACTTAGTCTTTAACCATATTCTATATGTTTAATACTTTAGTTTAGATTTGTCTTATTGTGTTGTGACGAATTCGACTGATGAAACTTATCCTAAACCCCACATTATCTAAATGGACGTACTTTTACAGATAACACATTCCTAATCTAAATTTCCAGGGGTTGAACTTCTACCAGGAGATTCACTTGTTGACTTAGAATATGCCGATGACATAGTTCTACTTGGTGAACACGCTGACAAAATGCAGTCTTATGACCACTCTAAGCAATAATGCAAGCATGTTCGGGATGCGATTCTCCTCGTCGAAACGCAAAATGTTGCTTCAGGGTTGGGTTGAGCGTGTCGACCGCTTCACTTATCTCGGAAGTCTCATCAGCCCTTGTAGTCACGTGTATCACGAAATCTCAGCACGGATACAGAAGGCTCGACTAGCTTTTGTCAACTTGCGTCATTTATGGCGTAAGCGAGATATCCGTCTATCAACCAAAAGGACGTGTTTACTGCGCAGCAGCTCGTTCCGTCCTATTTTATGGCAGTGAAACATGGCCGGTAAGAGTAGAGGATATCCGTAGGTTATTAGTATTTGGTCATAGGTGTCTTCGAAATATTGCTCGTATATCCTGGGACAATCGAGTAAGTAACGCAGTTGTTAGGAAACGGGTACAAGGTAAGGATGGCAAATCAATTGATGACGTAGTGAAACTTCATCAGTTGAGATGGCTGGGACACGTCTTACGTATCCTCAACCACCGACTGCCTCGAAGTGCGATGTTCAATGGTATAGAAGTAGGTTGGAAGAAAGGTAGGAGCGGCCAGACCAAAACATGGCACAAGTCCATGAAGTCACTGACAAGTGGACTGAGTCATGTTGGTTGGGGACCGCGAGATGATAGCAAGCGATGGTTAGAAGCCCTGAATGACATGGCTGAAAATCGTTTGCAATGAAGCAGGTGCATACACTCTGTGTTCTTCCAAAATCTAAACTTCTGAATTGTTCTTGTTCCCTTTTTATCCTTCCGAATTTATTTCACTGAATTATACTCGTTGAACAACATCTTCAAACCCTAATCTTTCCGATTACTGTTTATACTCTTAACGCCTCTATCACTACGGGATTTGAATCAACAACTGCATCAGTGTGCTAATGTGGTGCGGCAACTCGAACTGATGTATGTACGTACGAAGTTCTACGTTGTTACTGACTGACATTCCAGGCTTGTTAAGACGTTGACATTTACAATGCACACTTTCGTTCGTATTATTTATATTTGAGATGTTTCTTTCATCCTAATAATTAAAAAAACTAAATGACAGGCGAAAAAAAAGAAAGAAATTTCTTTAGTAGACTAATAAATATCAAATTACAGAAAGAGAGATAGAGAAAAATGCAATCATCATGGTCATCATCATCATCATCATATCACTCAAGCATAACAAATATTCACACTATAATTGTAATTGAGACTAGAAAAATACAAATCTTAAAGACTGAAATAAACTCTGTATATGTTGCTGTTATTATTATTATTATTAGTTTTGTAGTTATCACAATATTCTACTGCTTCTGCAGGCTAATTGAATTACTTTTGTTTGTAAAAATGCAATATACACAAAATTATACAAATAAGGACAATTTTTTTTTCTCGATAACATTGAATCCTTCACTTTGATTAAAATATACGATCATTGATGTTAGATGAATCTTGATCCGGTGGAAGACCACGATAACGTTGATATGGTTGGTTAATAATTTGTTGATTTGGTAAAGGTCCAGGGACCATAACATTTGGACCTCGCCTAGTTGGGAAATTAGGATTAGCAACATTACGGTAATTATTTGCTAATCCACGTCTAGCTCTATTAGCTTGTCCTAAATACTCTAAAAATGAAGCACCATTCTTTGAAAGGCAGCTTAAATCACCAGGAGGTGGATCTTCATGGAAAAAATCATGTGATAAAGCTTGATCAGCATCTAAACGTTTATTTGGATCTAATACTAGTAATTTGTCAATTAAGTCAACAGCTGATGAACATGGAATTTGTGGTGTCAATTTTTCTTTGACATGACGTTTAACATCTTTGGGTAACTTTATTTTTTGATAAGTTTCTAAATTCTGAACAGCTGGCCAAACTTCCGGTGTGATAGAACCACAAAGTTGAATAATTAAATTAAGTTGAAGAAGTTCATTCTCACCCTTTAAGATAAAAAGGAAAATGTGGGAATTCAAAATAAACCAAGTTATCTTAAAACAAATCCGTATGAAATTGTTAGAGGTCATATTAAGTAAGTACGTTCAGACATAAGTGTTCCAATAATCAAATAATTTTTGAATCAGTTGATTTAGCCCTATCCCCCCCCTCAACTTCATCTGTTCTGGTTTAGACAGCCATATACTATGATTAGTCAGTCGTGATCTAACTTAGATCGGTTCATGATTTCAGTGAGACTATCATTAGTTTTCACACCAAAACCATATGGCTCAAAGTCATGTACATACACTCCGACTGAAGGTAACAACCAAATGATCACCATGAGTACAGTTAGTAATGACAGTCTAACACATACATCATACAGGATAAACAGTTGGATTCACCAATAAGAAATAAATTCCATGTCATAAAATTGTTTCATTTTTTTCTAAATCAGATCAGATCATTGTGTTACAGACGTTATAGTTTACAGTAAGCCAGTTAACACGTATCAACCACCTAATTCGATCAAGATTCACAACCTCATCAACATATTTGCTAGCTATGGATAGTACTCAACTTTCCAAAAATGCACCTACGATAGCTATGATCAGATAATTGCAGCCTGTGAGTGTCTATTTAAAAGACCGTATTTCACACCCACGGAGTAAAATAGACAGAATTACTGTGCCGGATTTCTTTGAGAAACGGACATATTGTCTACGCCACACGGATGCAAGTTGACAGAAACGAGCTGAGGGTTTTGAATCTGTGTCAAGACACTAACCAATCAGGGCTGATGAGACTTCCAAGCAAAATGGTCGATGAACTCAACTACTTGACTCCTAATCACTAGTTTATGCGTTGATGCATACCAGTTTTGAAGCAATATTTTGCATTGAAAAGGAGAAAATCACGTCCCAAAGATTTTTGAATTGTTACTCAGTGTGTCTAAAAGACTAAATTTTATTAGCATCCTTGCGAGGAACAAATCGTCTACGTATTCTCAGTCAATTTGTGGATCTCTTGGTAAGAAATTAATCTTTGAAAAGTCAGAGGAATAAAGTGTTATTTCTTAAAGAATGTCTATGGTTAGGCAAAACACAAACTAAGATAGTTTGCAACCCTAAAGAACACTGAGTCGTCGGCTTTTCGCAAGCATCCAATAATACTGTCAGCCTGTTAGTTAGTGACTGAATCGGTAACTAGACACTATGACTATGAGAGAGGTCGTAGAGGTTCCTCTCAAATTTTAGCTGCAATCCACAAGAATAATGAGATCTTGAAAAAGATAAGCACTGTAGGACGTTAAATAAGAAAATGTGTGATATGCTGGCAACTGAAAGTAAGGTTAGTTCAACAAATGACTTTTCGTACTTATGCATAGCTTATGAGACTGATATGAGTTTTATCCTGTTGAAGTTAAGTACTTCGGATCTCTTTCTTTTTGATGACGGAGGTCAGTGGAAAGATATGGGTGTGTACTTATGCGTCCATAGACTCCCACTAGGAATAACCGATGCTGTAAACAGTCCCTATTATGGGATTGGTGCGTTATATTAAAAAAGAGGGATGTCAACGGCAATATATTACGACGATAGATCTAATTTTGTAGATGACATTTCCGAATTGCGTTAGTTTACACAACAATCGGATCCACAGGTGACACGCTCACTCCAAAGCAGATTCAGTAAAATTTTAAACTAACGCCAGCCAACCACTGTGTTCGGGTTTCTGGAAGAATGGTACAATCCACACATTAGTTGTTCTTCGTCATTTTCAATGAACAAATTTTACATGAAGAAACTCTCAAAGGCTCGGCGTGTGGTCCCCTAAGAAAACCACCTGCTTGGGTTTGGGCACCCGGGCAGTATCACGCCCCTCACACAAATCGAATGGTTTATATGGCGCATACGTATTTGGTGCCTCCTTGTACCAAAATCTGTGTTAAAATAAAAAATAAATAAAAAAACGAAAACAAATGAATATGAAGTATGATTTAATTAAGGTAGATATGTGACATCAACAAATCCAAATAAAACTTGCTTTAAATAACCTTAAATACTTGAAAAGTTTATTCGTCAATTACTTACTTGCATAATTGGGTAATTTGTCCAAAGCTCAGCCATAATACAACCAGCACCCCATATATCTACCGGTCTTCCGTAATAACGATCATTGAGCAAGATTTCTGGAGGTCGATACCATAAAGTTACTACACGACCAGTATAACGAGAAGCACGGTCAGGTCGAATAGAAGTGACTGTAAGCCTTGCCAAACCAAAATCTGCTATTTTTAAAACACCTTCACGATCAATTAGTATGTTAGATGTTTTTAAGTCACGATGAAGAACATTATTTCTACAAGATGTTAAAAAATGAGAGGTACTATTGATTTTGTATGTGAAAGTTGGGCACTTTAACTCCTTTGCTTAAGCTTGATATGGAAATCTCAGGCAGCAACATTTTCTTATAGATATGTTAATGGATGAACTGAACAACCTAGAAGTTACATTTTGAAAAGATCTCAGGAGAACTCAAAGAACTTATTCTAATGCTATGACTACTAAACTATTCTTTACTTGTCAAGTGTCATTAAAAATTAAGTTTCAGCTAAAAAAAGAAGTTATTTATCAGTTTATAAGATCAAGGAATTTTATCGTTTGAGGTTATTTTTAATAAGACATGAGTATGCATTCGTAAAACCATTAAAAATTAGTATGTACTATTTACATTAAAATATTATTTTATTCCCCCAAACGTCCTGGTACGGCCGAGAGAGGGGTGAGTCCGCTCTCCCTTTCCAAATACCAAGCGTATATAGCCTCTGCCAGGGAAGTCCTACTCACTGCCTTCTCGTCGCGAGGGTGTTGTTTACGAAAATGAGAGGACGAAAAGCGAATGTCCAGCGCTTTAATCGGATTCCAAATCAATGGTGCACATGGGCTCCAGTATCCTGTGGGAACAAATAGTGTATGAACCAATTGTTGGTCACCGGCTTCCATGGGACTGCATTTCCTCACGATGCTCCACTGCCTTGTGGATCAGACCTTCAGGTCGAAGGCTCGGGGAGTGGCCCCCTAAGAAAATGACCTGCTTCGGTTTGGGTACCTGGGTAATATCACAGCCCTCACACATATCGAATGAGATTTGTGTGGTGCATATGTATTTTGTGCCTTCTTGTACCAATATCTATGTGTTAAAATAAATAAAATAAATATGGGTAATGCAAAAATTAGTACACAATTTATAATGACACTGTACTTTTACCATTTTGCCAAGAAAATCGCCAATGAAATACCTGAAGTTCGTTGCTTATCCTCAGGTAAATCTTTATTAGAAATGAAACTATATATCTATATACACAATGATGACCATTTGTAATATCCGGTTGCGTGAAATAATATAGGTGAGGCTGGGACCGAATACGAGACTTGATGTTTGAAAGTGAGGTTTTTAATAACTAATCAGCAATCCTAATACAACAGACAGTTTATTTAAAAATGACAAAGTTTTAAAAAAAAAATTAGTCATCTGAAAATGATATTTACTTGTGTAAAAAGTAAAGTCCCGTAAGCAACTGTTGCATTATGCTTTTCTTCACTGGGAGACTGAACTCGACTTTTTGAGCTAATAGACCTGCTAGATCATGCTCACAAATGTCGAACAGGAGATAGAACTCGTACCTGTAATTGCTAGAAGGGGCAGCTATAGATTGAAATCAATATTGGATGAACAGTATACCTTTTTTATGACAAACGCCTCGCAAACGCACAACATTTTCATGGGAAAGTGAGCTGAGAATTCTAATTTCTCGTAGAGCAGTGACTGGAAACTATATGTATTAGAGAAATAATGGTAAAAGTTTACTTACACCCTCTGTTTCTTGCTCTGTTTTAAGTCGTTTCAAAGCATAATGTTGTTTAGTAACTCGATGGCGAACTTTGAACACTTCACCAAATGTTCCCTGCCCAATTTTCTGAAGTCGTTCATAATCATCAACCACCAAAGTGGTGGTTTTTTTCTCCAATTCACGATCAACATATTTAAGGGCATCTGTATAATCAGCCTCCAACTCTTTTAATAACAAATCTAATTCACAGTCATCCATAGAGACTTCAGCCACATCTTATTCTGTCTGATATTTGCCAAGCCTTCGCAATGAGTTGATGAAATGATTAAGCTGAAATTAGTAGTTAGATAACATTAGATTATTACCATGTTAACTATCAGGTTTAATATAACCAATAAAAGTGACGTATTTGGGATAGATATCATTAATAAAAAAAATCAGAACTAAAATTGGTGTTTTGAGTGGAATACTTTTGTATTAAAAAAGTCATTCGCGTATTGTGATAAACAATGAACAAAAAACTATGTGACAAAATTATAAGTACTATGACAGTAATAAAAGAGTAAATTGTGTAATAACCAGAGGAGAGATGAAATTTCAAGAATAATATGTATCAAATACATTAGAAGTCTATGCACACAACTATCGTATTATATAAAAACAGAGAGAATGAGAATACAAAGATGACATATAAGCTGCCAGAACGGGTTTCGTATCTTCTATGTCTAATCTTTTCAATTGTCACTGATAATGTTCCTACTCATACTATTCTGCCACCTCGCTATGTTCAAGTGATTTCGCAACCTGAACCGATGCATATATACTATGTCCCACACTGTCCATAAATGATTGACTAACCAGTTGTGTATGGTTGACTTCAAGTTACACTCTTTGTGCAGAGGTGAACAATATTATTTATTCCCTCATACCAAAGTCAGTCAGTCAGTCAACTACAACGTAGGACCAGGCATATATGTGCATCGGTCCAGGTTGCCATACCGCATCAGCACAACAAGATGAACACCGGATTCATAGCAGTGGTTAGGTCAAAGGTAGTAATATGTAGGAGAAAGATTGCATATAGAGATATAGTACAAGAAGAAAGAATTGGTTCGTAGAAAGAAAGATATGAAGCGATTTTAATCTCTTAGTTTAAGGGAAGACAGGGAGTGTATACACCGACGCCATTGTGATCGATTCTGAGCCATGTCACCAAGTGTCTCCAACCATTGGTTACGTTAGTCACGCGGACCCCAACCAAATAGTCTGCATCTACCAACATGGCTCAGACTAGAAGTTAGTGACTTCAAGTACTGATACCACGTTCTGGTTTGACCACCCCTAACTTTCTTCCAACCATCCCGAACACCGGTTAGTGTTGCACGTTGTGGTAATCGGTGTTCAGGCATACGTAACACGTGGCCCAACCATCTCAGTCGATGAAGATTCACAATCTCATCAACTGATTTACCATCATTCCCTAATACTCTGAGTCTAACCTCACTATTACTTACTCGGTGATCCCAGCAGATGCCAACAATATTTCTAAGGCATCTGTGGTCAAATACTAATAGCTTACGAGTGTCTTCTACTCTTAATGGCCATGTTTCGCTGCCGTAAATTAAAACAGAACGGACTGCCGCGCAGTATACTCGTCCTTTCATTGATAGACGGATATCTCGCCTTCGCCAAAGGTGACGTAAGTTGGCAAAAGCCAATCGAACTTTTCGAATCCGTGCTGAGATTTCGTCCGATACCAACCCATTAGGGCTGATCAGACTTCCAAGATAAGTGAATTCGTCAACGCGTTCGACTACTTCACTCCCTATCCTTAGTTCAGGTGTTAACGCAGACCAGTCCTGAAGAAATAACTTGCATGTAGAAGGAGAGAAGCGCATTCCAAACATCCTGGCATTGTTGCTCAGTGCTACCAGAAGACTCTGCATTTTGTCAGCGTCTTCACCAAACAGGACTATGTCATCTGCGTATTCTAAGTCAATGTCACTGCTGCTTCCACAGCTGCTTGTATTTCATTCCAAGCAACATCTGGGTCAGCCTCGTCTTCAGAACTACCTAATCGTGACCTCAGTTGTTCCTGGAACCTACTTTTGGTTTCCTCGCTACTCAGTTCGGTTCTAATGGGTCTTTTTACTGTGGCTTTTTTGCGTCCAGTGAGGCGCAAGCAGATGCGTGCCCGTATTAGGGCGTGGTCGGAGTCCAAGCACGTACTCCAGAATGAGCGACAATCTTGTACCTACCCTCTCCAACGATGACTGATGGCAATATGGTCTATTTGAGTCCATCGTTGGTTTGGTGCAGGCGGTCGCCACGTTAGACGATGTCTCTCCTTATGCTTAAAATTTGTGTTTGCTAAAAATAAACGATTGTCTGAGCACAGTTGCAGCAAACGGTCACCATTATCTGTTCGCTGTGCCGGAATGCTAAAATATCCACCTAAATGCCTTTGTGTTTGGTTTAAGCTACCTATCTGAGCATTAAAGTCACCCCCTACGAGTACTATGTCTGAGCGTTTAGCTTTCTGAAGAAGTTCGGACAGCTTTCTGTAAAATTCATCTTTCACATCATCTGAGCTGCAGTCAGTGGGAGCGTAGGCAGAAACGACGAAAAGGCAACGACGTGTGTCCCTATCCTTCCGAGTTTTTACGGAGCCGTTTAGCCGAACAGCACATAGACGACTGTTGACGGGGATCCACTCTAGCAGTGTTTGTTCCGCCCTCATGCTTAGTGCTATGCCTACACCTGCCAGTCCACGAGAACTTGCCATCGGGTCACCAGATACACGAAGGGTGTATCTTGTTGGCTCTCCGTTTTGCCGAGGTGAGGTCAAGTGAATGACCACACTGGAATCCTGTATGCGTGTTTCGGAGACACAGCATACATCAATGGAAAGAGACTAGGGTTTTAGCCAAGGAAGCCTGCTGACCGATTTGACATAGAGTGCGTACGTTGAAAGTTCCAATGTGTAGTTTGGAGCGAGGTTTCAGTAGACCTGGGACAGAGTTTTGAGCACTAGAATCGTTGGCTATGGCGACACTTGAGGAGGAAGCCGAAGGAGGAAGTTTAGGGTTGAAAGTCGATGTAGGAGGAATAATAGGAATTGAAAAGGAAGGTTGATTATGAATACAGTGGTCTTGGGTGCTGTTAGAGGTATGAGGGCGATTATCACTTCCCGGTTGCCCACACCGTGGAAGGGTTCTTCTGGAGGTACCTGAAAAGGAAATTGGATTAGAGGCGGTCTCAGTGACCTGAGAGCGTGACCGCAGCGCCCAAGGGACAACTGCTTGAGGCCGGTCGCGCACGGCCTTTTCGTGGGAGGTTTTTGACGTGTTAGCTCCGTTCTTCAAAGGGCCTTACCGCCGGCGACGGAAATCCGTGACGTAAGGTGAGGTGTGCATTTTTAGGATCGACCTTTTCTAACACCACCCACCCCTCCTTGTGGGAAGGCAGCATCGGTGTCATGCTGGTTGTCTGAAGGAAACACCTTACTGCTGTCACACCTCTGTACAGTCAGCAGTACGATTTCGCCTTCGGACCTTGGGTTTGTTGCTTTTAGTCTTACCGCTCTTCAACCAACCTGTCTGACATGGTAGGACCTTGAGGAACGGTTGTTCCAGCCAGTATAGCTCGGTTGCTTCATCACGATAGGCAAGCCCGACCACCACGTCAAGGTAGCAACAACGGTCGGGTCATACCAAAGTAAATGAAGTTGGATTTCAACCAGTGATTAATTAGTCGAAAAAGAAAAAAACTAAATTACTAGGCTACAAGATTGTCTGCATAGAAATCAGTTAGACAGTTCATATTATAAGTAAGGTTATTATTATATCTTGAAATTTTATTAATCTTAAAACTTGACCGTAGTTTCTACACTAGTGTTATGGTTAGGATTCAGGTACCTCAAACTTGGACTCAGATTAGTCGCATCGTAATCAGCTACTGCCGGCATGCTTCTTTTGGAATACTTAGCTGAACTGCGATCACCCCTTTGTTTGCTCTAACCTTATCTTATCATACGTTGGTAGCAGTAACTGTATCTCATAACGGCTGGGAGCTCTTCCAACTCACTCGAGTTACTGGAAGAAAGTTGGTATTGGGAAAACAATTTGTGAGGCTGATAGGACACCAATTAATAACATCTACTGACGTCTTATAAGATGGACAGAGTTCTTCGAAGAACAGTTCGGCAGGTCTATTGCCTCGCTGATATCGATCGGACTATTCTGTCCGCCAAGACCGGTGACAACTGATCCAACTAACGAAGCAGAAGTTCACAAGAAACCACAAGTTATGAAGCCCCATAAACCACCAGAATTATATCATTTACCCCCAACCTATCTTAAGGATGGTGGCGAAAAACTCGTTATGAAACTGACCGAGTTGTTTCCAAACGTTTGGCAATTATCGTTCCAACATCTTGAAATGAGGCTATAGTCGCCCCTATCTTCAAAAATGCTTTACATCTCATGTGAAACAAATATCGGAAGATAAGTCTATCTACGACTGCATCCAAAATACTACCTTCCGTCATATTTTGCAGATTGTTCAAAGCCCCTAAAAGCCCCCGCCCTTCCTATTGAAATGCTCTCACACGGCCACGCGTATATAGCCTCTGCCAGGAAAGTCCTACTCACTGCCTTCTCGTGGCATTACTGTTGTTTACGAAAATGAGAGGACGAAAAGCGAATGTCCAACGCTTTAACCGGATTCCAAACCAATGGTGCACATGGGCTCCAGTATCCTGCGGGAACAAATGGCGTATGAACCAATTGTTGGTCGCCGGCTTCCACGGGACTGCATCTCCTCACGATGCTCCACTGCCTTGTGGATCAGACCCTTAGGTTAAAGGATCGGGGTGTGGCCCCCTAAGAAAACCACCTGCTTCGGTTTGGGCACCCGGGCAGTATCATACCCATCATACAATGTGTGGCGCATATATATCTAGTGCCCTCCCGCAAAAAAGTAGGCTGGTTTTTGCTCTGGTCGAGGATACATTGATTATATCTTCACCCACCGTTAGGCGTTAGAACACCGTCATATTTAATGTAGGCCAACAATCGTTGTTTTCTTGATGTCACAGCCTCCTTTGATTCGTTGGACAGGACCGTCCTCTATGGTTGTCTATTGAAGAACGGTTTGTCTGAGTTCATTAACATCTGGAAGAGCTTATATACAAACAGTTTAGGCCGAGTGAGGGCATATAATTACCTCGCACGATTGTCCCATCCAAGCAGTAGGGTTAGACAGGGCTACACAATCTCTTCAACTTTGCCACCGATGATGTTCTGGAAACGGTTGTCATGTAAGTAGGT